ACATTATGTTTTCTATAGATTGGAACCCTTCCTGGATATAGTAAGAAATATATGCACATAGACTTATGCCAACTAATCTCACTTATAACTATTTTTAAAAATCATCTTGAATGTTCATTGGGCAATGCCACCCTCCAAGAACATGGATAGTGTTGTTTTTTGAGAAAGAAAATGACAAAAACAAGTTTTTCTTTCTAGTTGTGAAATGCACTCTTCACAAGACCCACCAGCAGTGGCAATTCTTCATGCACAGATGAGATTGCAATTGTGTCATAAGCAACTAAAAGGCTTGGTATCCATCTGGAAGTTCCTCTCACTGAGCTAATGCTGCTTCCTCAAAGAGCTAAATAAGAATTGTCGCAGTACCTACATGCCCTCTATCAAATTCTAAACTAAGTGAAATCCATTGCAATTTAGGGCTTGATATCCTTCCCACTAAAATCCATAGAAACAGCATTGGGCATATAATGAGCTCCCCACCCCGCCTTTTTTAAGAAAACAGTTTTAAGTTAAAACATTGTGCTATTTGCAGCAAGTATTGTATTCATCACACACTTGAATCTGAAAAGGTGCTTGCAATTGCTGGATGACTGCCTAGTCCCCAACCCAGTTTGGAATACAACCAACCATTACTGTCTTCCCTGTTCCATCTGCATCACCAACATTCCATCAGAGCTCGTAAGAACAGATGCAACATTCCTGTTCCTATCCTCCAACTTTTCACCATTTAGTCATCTCTAGAGAACCAAGACCTGTGCATAACTGTGGGAAACAGGAGCATACTAGTCATGGTATCAAGAGTTGACATGCCTTGACACGTGTGGTTTTGTCACCTTTAAAACAGAGACAAACAACAGGCCATGCAGCCCCTAGTGGGGAACCTCAGATATGTGGCCATCTAGGCCTCTCTCTCTCTCTCTCTCTCTCTCTCTCTCTCTCTCTCGGGAATGCTGTAAGGCCATGCCCTCCCCTGACCTTACTCTGTGTCCTCCTCAAGTGCTTTTGCCGGATGCCATGTATCTCTGAACTGTAACAGTGCCTTTTGCTTGTCTGGATGTAGCATGAATAAACAGATGTCTGTATGTACATGCGCAAAGACTCTGGATGGAATATAGGGGAACATCTGATTGAAGGTAAGAGTCAAATCCACTGCTCTTCCCACTGCCCATCACAGGCATGTGGCCCACAAGGGAATGTGGCCCTTGAGCTAGAAGAGATTCCCCACCCCATCCAGAAAGCTGGATCAGTGCTTCACAATATTTAAACCATTGTGCCACTGTTGATCAAATTTAGGTTAAACGTCTCTGAAAGACATAATCTTTTGTCATCTACTATATTCTAATAATAAAAGTCAATCAACTCTTTTCAAAGATATTTGAAGTCATTCCCCCCCCCCCCAAACGCTCACTCTGTCATTCATTCTTTCATGCCCTTCATCTCCATACAGGTGATTCATTTCACAATTTAGAATTCATCTTTTAAAAAAGCAAATGGGAACTTCAAAGGAATAGAAATGACAAGAGGTGTTTAGACAGGGCTGACAGGGCTCCCTATGATTTTAATGGGAGGTCTCCAACCCCCTGGCATTATATGTAGCAAAAGGAACATGTGGGAAAGAGGAACATGTGCTAGGTTTCCAAATTCATCAGAGATGTCATTTGTTCACTGAGACATGCTGGCTTCAGCAGAACAGCCATTGAAACAAACAAGAGCCTCTTTCAGTATTATACGCCAAAGATGCACACACTCAGCTTCTGCTAGCCACCAGGACTCTATCCAAACTGCAATAAAAATCATTTTTTACCCCCATTTTCTGACTGTGTCAATTTTGGGGTGTGTGGCATAAGTATGAGCAACCATAACGTATTGACTAAGAGCCAAGGGTGTTCTAGATTCAAACTCTGTCCTGGCATAACCCTTCAGAACAGAAACCTTAAGATTGCAGTTGTATCTGAGGTTTGTCAGGAAGGTTCGGATTCAGTGTGTGGTGTATGTGTAGCTGTGATAACTTGTACCAACTGATGAGTTAGTTGCCCTTCACTGCATATTAGATAGTAGGGAAGAGAGAGAGATTAAAGGAAATTGTTTTTAGGTCTTATAGATCAGAAAAAAAGACTATAAATGGAGCCTTTGCAGGGATGGGGGCTGTCTTGGGAATTTACCTATAGGCACGCTGGTATTCCATGCAACTAGGGAAAGGACACTTGTCTCTCACTTAAAAAACTGTGGTCAAGTATTTTGACAAAACACAGTCTTTAACTGATGACTTAAATGAATGATAGTTGTGCAATGACAGTTTTTTCTCTCTGTTAGGAAGATTGTTCTTGTTGCATATTTTTAAAATATATCTCAATATATATTATTTTACATGCTTACATTTGTGAGGCACATATGCCCAAGCTTTAATAATTTGGCATGGTTCTGGGGTCCTGCCTCAATGGTGGATATCAGTTAGAGAGAGGTGGTGGCCATTCACAGAGGTAAAATGAAGGGCACACATTTGACTTTACACATTTCAAATGTATTCCTGCTACGCAACACTCCCTACCCTTCTCGTTTTAAAAAACCCCCACTGTGTATCATTTTTGGCATTCAGGTGTTACTTTATAATACCCCAGAAGTGCTGAAAAATAGAAGGAGTTGGAATAGTTGCTTATGATTGCAGCTAATGAGGGAGGAATACAAGGTTACTATTAGTATTATTATTACTACTGTATCTATTTATATCTTGCCTTTTATCAAGACTGGGACTCAAGGTGGCTTACAGAAATCAAAACAACAGGGATAAAATAAATAAAGCTAAAAACATATAAAAGATAATAGCTTTAAAGTATTTAAACTATAGTAGAATTTAAACAATATAAAAACAAATCTATCAAAATGCAGAGTGATGGGTCTCCTTCCCAAAATATCATGGGGTATGTGACAAGAGTAGCTTGGTAACAGACACAGTAAGGTGAGTCCTGTTGCAGTTAGCGTGGGAGAAGGAAAACTTTCCCTTTTCTCTAGCTTTTGAGCATACAAACAAGAAGTAACTGGGCACACAGAATGCTAGCCACAAGGAAGTACCAGGGGGAACACTGGGATCAGAGAACCCAGGGAGTGAAGATGTATTAGTGCCAAGATACTAAGGGTTGGGTGGGCTGTTGAGTGATGAAGGATGAACAGGTGGCAAAGGGGAGGAAGGAAAGAGGAACAAGAGGAATAGTTATAGTAGACAGCAACAGTTGTTTAAGTTTGGGGAGAACAGATGGAACCCATGCGAGATGTAAAACAGAAGGCCAGTGAGCTGCTTGTACAGCATAATAACCAATATAAAGGGAACTGTCCAGTGCTGAACAGACAAACTAGGATGGGTGCAAGGAAAATCCCTGTCCATGTTTTGTGTTTATCTGAAGAGGTGTCTGAAGAGGGTGAAAAGATGGTGAAGCCTGTTTTAATATGAAACAAAAGCCACATAGAAAATAGTGCATTCATGTAGAGTTAATATTTAGCTGCATTGCTGAAATGTGAAAGGAGGGGGTTCCCTCATTTGTGCTTTTAAAACATTCAGCATTGTTGACCGTGGGCAGCTATTTCCTTACTTAAGGCCTGCTTGGTATTATGTAAGTCTGTGCTTTGCTGTGGAGATAATGCAAGTTAATAATCTAAATGGCCGAAAGGTAGATACAACATACAAGGTTGGAAGAAATGGAGGATTTGAAGGACACGTCAGAGATGGGGGTAGATTACAAAAGGTTAAACACCTGTTAATTTCAGGACCTTATCAAGATTGTTGCAGTTAGCACATTTAAAGGTCTTTGGATTTTGAAGAAGTAAATTTAAAGGTCTTAGATTCAAAGCCTACGAAGTAAGACTTGCCAGGTGGTTACGGTAATTGGCCTATAAAATAATGCTCACAATTGCTGTAGAATTGAGACACCTACACCATCCATTTAGAAGGTGCTCCCCCAACTGCAGATAGATATAGATTAGCTGAATCTCAGATAAGAAGATTCTCTGTTTCTCCTCCCCAGCCTAGCTAGCCTAAAGAAAACACTTATTTCTTTGCAGAGTAAATTCCACCATAGTTGTTATAAGTGATGATGCATACATTTTCCTTTGTAACTCTCTGTAATCCGAGTTTGAGTAAGTAGTTTTAAAAACATAACTCCCTCTCCACATACATATCTCAGTGTAACTAGTTCAGAATCCATTATAAAGAGTCTTCTTACTACAAGACCCATTTTAAACATTTGCACTTACAGTACCAATTAACTTCTGTTCATTATGTCTGTTTTATTAACCCAGTGTTAAACTAAAGGAGCAGAGAAGTGTGTGTGTTTTAAGCCAGCTCCTTTTCCAGAATTGGAAATGAAAACCTACTTCCCAATAGCATATCCGGTCCCTGGTATATTATTTTTTTTTTGTTCACTAAGCAAGAATACAAAAGGGAAGAAATATGAATGTATGGTATAACATGCAAGACTCTATATATGGTTCTCCATATGGAGGCAAGAAGATTCTGTGCAAAGGAAGCAATTGTCCTGGGAAGAAAGATTGGCTCTCTCTCTCTCTCCACTCCTTACTCTTACTTGGCTGTAAAGGAATTTCTTTTGGGATCTATATGGTGCCTGGATATGGGGCAATCTCTTCCAGAAAGCAGTTTTACATCTGTATTTAGCTCCTTGGGACACAGAAGGAACTATGCTGTACAGCAGGTGAAAGGACTGGCTCAAGTGCCCTAAAGAGAACTATTTCTTCCATTCCCTGCAGGACAGCAGAGATCTATGGAAGATCAAGGAATACAGCCAACCCATTTATAAGGAGAAAAAAGTTGGGCGGCTGTTAATCACCTAAGGTGAGGGAAGTAGCTGTGTTTCTGTGAGAAAGGGGGGGTTCTTCCCATGCTGTAGGATGCCGTCATTACTGATTGCTCATACTTCACTCTCACTAATGCATTTTCATTGCATAGGTCGTGGGGGAGGTAAATAGGTACAGAATCCACACCCTGTTCTCACCTGTGGATGTTCATCTCCTGCGGTGGCTGTCGTGCTTTGTCATAGGCCACCTTGGCAAAAATGCCTGCAATGACAACAAAGGCAACGGCACCACATGAAATGTAGACGGTGGCATTCGTGTTGTCCTCATTTGGGTCATACCCATTGGGTATACCTCCAGCTCCATCGTTACTGGTGGCAGGGGTCATTAGATCTGTGTTGGGGCGCGGGCCCTGATTCCGGCACCTATCCTGATTCAGCTTCTCAGAGCGCTTGTTGCAGCAAAAGCGGTAATAGCAGGTGCCGCAACAGTAGCGGAAATCCTTCTGGGAATTGTTGCACTCAAACTCCTTGTCCCACTGCCCGCTCACATCGTAGTAGCCCATGCATGTCTCATATGCTGGCACAGAGCTGCCTGCACTGACGTTGGAGGGCACCCTTGCTGGACTGCGCCCACGGTTTCCCCCACTACCAGCTGCCACAGGAGATGGTGGTGTGCTGGCTAGCGTCTGGTTCTGTTGCTCCTTGGCCGGCTTGTAAGGTCGTCGGGGGGCTGCTGCCCCCTGTGTCCGGTTGCCCTTGGGTGTCCGTAGGGGCCCAGCTGCCTGTGTGGTTAGCAGCAGCGCCAAGGCGTACAGGGCAAGAGGCAGGAAGCAACAGGAGATGCCTCCACCCCATGGTGAGCCGGAGGAGCAAAAGTTGGGAGGCAGAGGGCTCTGCCCAGCCCAATCAAGGATCTCGGCTCTGCCACCCCATGGATGGTGAACAGGGGTAGGAATCAGGCGCTCCTCGGTGGCGCTTCACTGGCAGCATCCCAGATCCATCCTCCGTCTCTGGAGATGCCTCTTCATCCCGGCAAGAAGCAAGAGGCACGACTTGGCTGCTTCAGAGCAAGAATGGGCTCTTCTTACTCGGAAAGTCCCGACCTGATCACAGCTCCTCCTGTGATGGGCTGTAAGAGAGAAGAGGACATCAGAGGCTACCTGGCCCAGGAGAAAATGAGCAAGGGAAAAGGGGGGGGTCGACGTGCCAGGGGGTGCTACAGCAGCTGCCCCTCCAAGGGGGCCTACTCCAAGAGGCCAGGGAGTTAAGAGATCCAGGCAGAGGGTCGCCTTTAGTGTGGAAGGAACACCTCCCGCACAAGCTGGCATGGGTGCCACGGAAGAAAAGGAGGGCAGGCAGGTGTGGCTGCTGTGCCCGGACAGAATAGTGCCGAAGCGGAGAGTGGGGCAGCAACAGCTCCCAGAAGCTCACCGGGCAGGGAATTCCCTTGGCACCGTCTCTGGCGAGAAGAAGCACCACTACCACCACCACCAGCAGCAGCAGCAGCAGCAGCAGCAGCAGCAGCAGCGACCCTTGGGCTGGCAGGCAGCGCGGAACGCAGCCCTGGCCGGCCACCTTCCGTCCCCTCCTCTCTTTCTTCCCTCGCCCTTGCCCGCCGACCCTGCGCGCACCCCTGCCTGCCTGCCTTCCCTCACTCACCATGCCGGGGCGGAGCGGGAGCACTGCGGAGGTGCCGGGCTGGGCATCCTCGTCGCCGAGCGCTGGCCGGAGCTGCCTGCGCCGCCGCTGCTCGCACGGGCTCGAGAGGAGCTGCTGCTGTCGAGCGGGCGGGGACAGCTAGAGGCTGCGCGAGGAGCCGCCGCCTCTCCCGCCTGCCTCCCTCTCTAGGCCCGCCCAGTCCCGGCCCCCTGCGAAGGAGTCGCAGCCCCGCGGCGCCAGGGGCCGATGGCCGAGGGAGGTGGGGGGGGGGCTCAGGACAGAGTCCGCCTTTCGGGGTGGGGGGTGGGGGGAGCGAGGCCCAAAGACCCCTGCCCTGCCCCGCTCTCGGGCTCTCTTCACACAGAGGCCACCCTCTGCAGGACTGGCGAGAGAAGCTCCTTTCCCCCCTCTTCCCCTCAGCGCCCTGAGGCGGGCAAAAGGCGGGCGTAACCCCCCCTGCTCGCCAGGGCCACCTTCCTTAACTGAATGGTAGTAAGGCGAAGCGGGGCTGGGGGGGGAGGCGGGCAGGGAGCGCGTGTCCACAAGTTATATCGGGATGGGTTTATCACGGAGCTGAAAGAGGGGGGGGCGGGGAGAGGGAGGGCTGGTCTAAAGGGCCCCAAGAAGGTGCCCTGTGAGGTCCCGGGCGCTGCTCTGTGGCCTGGACCTTCGGGGCGTGGCTGCGGGGAGTCTGTTTTGTGGAAACAGAGGCGTCTGTGCCGCATGCAGGAGCCGAGCACACCTTGGCGAGCCAGGTGAATGAAGACGCTGCACTTTCCCGCTCAATCTCAGGAGCAGGTATGAGACTCCTCCCACTTCATCTTCAATCATGTTCCGAAAGAGTGGGGAAAGATACCCATTTGCCACCCGGGGTCCCGTCCCCCCCGTTTTACCACCTACATACCATGCACACCTGCTCTCACAACAGCCAGCACTTCACTGAACCTGTGGAGGGACAGACTCTCTATGCATGCAGCGAAACGTCTGAGCAGAGCCAGGTGGGTAGCAATGTGCAGGCATAGCTTTGTATGCTGGACTGAGGATCCTCTCTCTCTCTCTCTCTCCCTCTCTCTCTCTCTCTCTCTCTCTCTCTCTTATTATCCCCCCCCCCTTCTTGGTTATGCAGACAGAACCTATACCACTCATTCACATTTGATAGTCTAGCATGCAGTGGAGGCAGTGGATGCAATTCTGCCCTCCCCACATTCAGTGAATGTGTGAAAACGACTGCAGCAAAACCGAAGTGATAGTATTCTGCATTGGGTCAGTTCCTTCTGCAGGTGAGAGCTCGTATTTCTGAATGCTCCCCACAGAAGAGGACGGCAAAGGAGAAGGGTATCCTTTTATGTAGTAAATGAGCACATCAGGGAAAGTGTGTTAGCACAGCCATCTCCTTGATGGTTTTGCTTCATGCAGAGAGCGTTTTAATGTTCAGGGGACCAGGAGCATTAATAATAATATAAAAACCACACTGCTACCTAACTATAGTCTGAAATGGAACAATACAGAATTCCACCACCTCTGCCTACCACCTTATTTCATCGCATGGTAGAATTGTTGCCCAATAGGGTGATGAAAAAGAATTACGAAGCACCTAATTCGTGAGTTTGTATCCTGGGATTCTGCTAAAGGTTGCATTTGCATCTAGTTCAGATGTGTAAAACAAAATCCAAGGCAATTCTGAAGAGTCCTGCTCTGCTCGCTCACAGCCTTTGCAGGTATGATTGGGGAAGTTAAAACAATTTTGATGAATGGGTGAAATTTCTGAAGAGGGCTGGGTGGGTTTTGCATATCTCTGATATCTTCCTTCATGGGAGGCTGTATGCAGGGAGTAACGGTGAAGCATGAATCTGGTATGCAACAGCACTACTCCGTCCTGACCTGTAATCACTCACCCTTCGCTACTGTGTTAAATTTAACTGTCGAGTTCTAACTTTTTAAGTATATGTTGCATGCATTATAAACCAACTGGTAACAAACATCCCTCACAAGATGGTCAGGGATCTGGAAAGCAAGTCTTGTGAGGAAATCGTGAACAAACTGGGTACGTTTAGCCTGGAAAAGAAAAGATTGGAGTGGGGAGTATGGTTATACTTGAAGGGCTGTCAAGAGGGCAAGGTAAACTCTGTGGTTCTTCAAGGAACCCAAATCCTCTCTGTCAGAATTTAGTGACATTTTTATTATTGAGAGCTGAGAGTTTTGGGTGTGTTATGTGATGCACCTGGAACGAGAAGTTCTCAGCATCAACTTTCTGAAGCTCTATTATAAGAGAATGTGGAGTCCTGGTCTACACAGCCCAGCAATGTCCACCATTAGCAGTTGCTTCCCAAGGCCTTGCAGAAGAAGCCTCGCAGCTGTCAGCAAATCCCAAACAAATAAATGGTGAAAATGAGTGATACTGGAAAATTATGATCCAAATTCCAAACTCCATAGCTACAATTGCCATCACGATCCACTTAAAAATAAATAAATCTGAGGGGCTTTCAAACTGCTAATGCAAATCAAGCTACTGAGCAAGGAGGTATCCCAAGTCTGAGCCCAAACCCCAAAACGGGTTCAGAGAGGCTCATTCTAGCTCCCAATGAGCTAGAATGCAACTGAAACACATCTCATGCAGCACAATCCTATGTATGCTTTTTTAAAAAAGTCCCACTGTGTCCAACGTGGCATGCCATAAGTATGTATAAGGTTGCAATCTTAATTGCATGTAGGTAGTGTGGTGATGTGGTTAGAACATACTGGTCAAACATGCAGCCCTCAAGAGCATTTTTGGTGGCCATTAGCAACATTTGATTGCCCCCCCCCCCCGCCCTCACACTGCTTTACCAAAGCCATGTAAGTGAGGCCATTGGGCTCTGGGAAGGAGATGTGAAGGCTCAGACAGGGTCCTAGAGTCCTCCTGCTCCTTCCCAAAGCCATGTTAGCACTTTCCCAGCTTGGGGAATGAAGTGGGAGGGCTCTAGGACACTGCCAGAGCCTTGGCCCCCCTTCCTAAATCCTAGCACCTCACTTAGCCATCTTTGGGAAGGCAGGAGGGTTGTGTGTGTGTCACTCCCCCCATGACAAGACAGTGTGCAGCCTAGGGGTTCCATGTCAAAGTACTGTTGTGGCCCACATAGTATGAGAAGTTGGGCCACCCTGGGTTAGTATGTTGAACTAGGACCTGGGTGACCAGGGTTCAAATCCTGACTCACCTATGTAGCTCACTGGATAATCTTGGGCTGGTCACTTACTCTCAACCTTACATACCTCAAGGGATTGTTAGATGATTGCTATTTATTATTATAAATTTGGGAAGTGTTTGCCACCTCAAGCTTCTCAGAGGAAAGAAGAAATAGAAATGTAATAAAAAATAAAACCTGCATTAGAGCTGGGCCCATAAACACAAAATAAGTAACTGGTCTCTAGCTAATGGTTCAGCAAATAAGAGGTTCAATAGGATATTTAAGAGGTTGAATATGATGAGAAAAGATCTCAAATCTAGTGAACCAGGAAAAAGGCACATTTCCCAGAAAAATATCGGAGAAACAGAGTGGAGAAGGAGAGAGCGAGCTTTGGGATTGGTAGCTCTGCCTTTGCCCTGACCCCAAGTGCTTCTCTTAGATAAGGAAAACGCAAAAGCAAATTAAAGCAAACAGTGGACTAGTTCAGTTTTTCTAAAGTTATATTCCAAATGATGGACTGAATGTGGCTGATCTTTCAGCCAGAAAGATCTAGTTCATTCAGATTATGACCTTGAGCTACCGTTCCAAGAAACAAGAGCCACTTGGTCAAAGCAAGGCCCACAAACATATTGATTGATGTCTTGGTTCTTTTATCAATAATCCTCAACTCAGCAAAAAAAATGAGAGTAAGAACATAAGGTTTGCCTTGGTGGATCAGACCAAGGTCTATCAAACTCAGCATTCTGTCTTTAGCAGCAGCCAATGAGATCACTTTGCTCATAAGCAAGTTGTGATGGCAATAGCTATCCATACCCACAGTTTGTTATTGGTTCAAGACTGGAGTC